CGTAGCCTCAGCGTCTGCTCCATTTCCGAAGCAGTATCTTTTAAAACCAGAATTGTGAACCAGGGCTTAATTAAGATGAAACGTCATCTCGGTGGCAACTGCTGAGGAGTTCGCAAACTGGCGTGGAAGAAAACAAAACAAAACCAGCACGCTAGAACGTCACTGTTGTGTATACATACATACACATATATACATATATATATAGCTTGATCTAATTCTTTGTTTCTCTTTCAGGCTGCCCTTCCGAAAGCTACTATATTGGATTTGTCCTGTAATAACCTAATTTCTCTGCCGGTAAGATGCTAGGGAGCCTTTGTGGAGATGAGGCAAATCTGTTAGGAAATAATATTTAAAAAAAAACAAAGTCCTTCAATAGAGATTCAGTAGGAGGTTTAGAACTAGCACTTCTCTCATTCCTGGGTTGGCTGAATGACAAAACCATCAATTAAGGGTTAGTATTAATGGTAGTTTTTACTGAGGCAGGCATAATGCAATAAGAGAGAAAAAGCTGAAGATCCTTTTCCCTGCCAAAGGATCCCTGCAACTTTACAAACCACTTTCATCAGCAACAGAGGCTCAGTTTTGTTTCAGATATATTGCGGCATATCACCTTGTCTAGGAAACAGGGGTGTCCCACTGTTTTCTACCTCTGTCTTCCAAGGCAGAGGAAGAGGGTGATTTTCCTCCATCACACAGTTTTGTGTTAAGGATTATGGCTTTATCACATAAGGTGAAGGATATTTCGACACACTCTCAGCTGGGGTTCCTTTGTAAAGGTGATGCCAAGCTGACTCTACTTTTGTGTGTGTGTGTGTGTGTGTCTCGGTTTTAGTCGGACTTCTGTAGTTTGATGCATCTGGTGAAACTGGATTTGAGTAAAAATCGGCTTCAACAACTGCCCTTGGACTTTGGCCGCCTGGTCAATCTGCAGCACTTGGACCTTCTGAACAACCGTTTAGTCACCCTGCCAGTCAGCTTTGCACAGCTCAAGGTAAAACCCATTTGCTAGGCAGTTACGTAAAGCCTTGGGAGGCAGTCCAGGGTCTTGTGATTCTTCTCAAGTTGTTCTCTGGTAAAGCATCGGTCCTGCTGGCTACCCATTTCAAAATTAATCTGGGCTCTGCACTACAGCTCAGTGGAAATTACCTCACTTCTACTGAAGCAACTTCTGCCTGAGCTCTCTACTTGTCCTCTGTATGTGCTTCATTTACGTGAAAACTAAGTAGCTCTTTGCTACCGCTTTGTATCTCTTGAATAATCACAAGACTACTGTGCTCTGTGTGTGCGAGCACTCTTACAGCCTCCCGTTTATCGTTCCTTTCTGCAGAATCTGAAGTGGCTGGATCTGAAGGACAATCCCCTGGATCCTGTTCTAGCTAAAGTAGCAGGAGACTGTCTGGATGAAAAGCAATGTAAACAGGCTGCTGTCAAGGTAAGGAATCTGCTTCCTATTTTATTCTTTTTTCCCGTACTTGGATTTGCTGGTTGCTGTTTTTCCTCCGATTGCTTAGCATGCTGGGCTGCTGCTGCAGCAATTTGAAATTTCTTCAGTCAGTGAGGAGCTGGTTCATTGGTAAACATGCAGTGACTTCATTGCTTCTGCGCCTGTAGTGAGCAAAGACTGAGCTAAGCAGGATTCTTTTTCATTACTGGGGTTAAGAGTGTTGAATGCTGGTAGCTAGGAAAGCGGAGGTACATTTAAACAAAATAATCCATGTCCAGGCTTACACTCCAGAGTAAAAAATCTCTCGCAAAGTTCTGGCAAACTACAAGCTCACATAAATAGTTGCTGCAAGCTGTGGAGCAAGAATAGTTAGAGTCTGGGTCTGTGTTGCTGCCTTGTCATACTATTACTTGAAAGAATTCAGTCTCATAAAAGAACAAGTGTTCTGTGATCCTCTGTGCTAGCTAGCACCAGTTTGCCTTGTTTGTTTTCTAATTAAAATATCTTTCTCTTAACTGTAAAGAGTAATACAGGAAAGTCAAGAGAGTTCTCTTTGGAGCCAGACCTGTAAGGCTAAGTCAGCTGTGTGCAAATTTATCGGATTAGTAATCAGTCCCAGCTGACTGTCTTCTGCCAGTCTTCACCTGCGCTCTTAACTGTTCTGTTTTGAAATGACTATGCAAAGAACCTTCTGCATACGTCCCATATTGTTTTCTTGGACCTTGAAGGTACTGCAGCATATGAGAGCTATCCAGTCTGAGCAGGATCGAGAAAGGCAACGGAAGCTCCAGGCAGAGCGAGGTAGGCATAAAGAGCCCTCAAGCGCTCTCTGCTGAAGACTATTCCTGATCTCTCTTGATGACATACCCAACCATACTGATTGCCATCTAACAAATATCTGTAACTACCAGAGTTCTGAGGACCCAAGGAGTATTAGGGGAGGAGGGGGAAAGATAGCTTGGGATAACTCTGTGGTTTCTTGCCTGGAAAACAGTTAGATCCCTCAAGGAAACGTGCTGTAAGTCACCTATAAAAAGTATGAAGGAAAAACACAGGATTTATTTTAAGGGAAGTGTAAACTTGAGGGAGCAAGATGAAAGGCATATAATATTTTAGAACAATAATCCAGGGTACTTATTTGATTGTTTCCTTATTCCAATGGGGAACAGGTAAGCATGTAATAAGGAACAAGGCCATGACAACCCTTTATATAAAGGGAAAAAAACCCTTGTATTAATCCTCAGAAATGGAGAAGAAACGTGAAGCAGAACAGCGTGCAAAGGAGGCTCAAGAGAGGGAACTGCGGAAGCGAGAGAAGGCAGAGGAAAAGGAACGCAGAAGACGGGAGTATGATGCTCTGAGAGCTGCAAAACAGGAGATGGAAAAACAAACTAAAAAAGAAACCGTTCAGACCCGAAGTAAGTTGCATCCACAGTGGGTATTCTGTAGAGACCATCATGTAATATTTTAATCTGTAACTTGAGCACAGCATAGGAAAAATAAGTGGAAGAGAAGGAACAAGACCACTGCCCTAGACACTGCATCAGCCTTCATCAAATTTTGATGGTGGGGGATGGTCAGAGTGGTAGGGAAACAGCACAGTAGTAGAGCTTATTAAAAATCTTACAGGTGGACAGCTGTAGGAGAGGAAGACAATATTTCAGCATCTTTGTTCCTGATAGATTGCTGAACTACAAGATTCAGAAAATTCTTCAGCTGCTCCTAAGCAGAACTTCCCTCCGTCCAATTCTTTTTGAATGTACTGAGATATATGCGCAAAAACAGATCTTGCCTAATAGAGATGCCTTACATCCTGTTCATTGCTGCCCGAGAAAATAAATGTGAAAATTTCATCCTAGATGGATAGATTCTGTACATCTACTTATTGACCAGAGTAAGGGAAGAGATAGTTCTGATTCGTTCCTCTCATCTGTCATGGAATTGTTCTTGTTGCAGAGCCCTCCTCCAACCCTCGTCCACCTCAACCACAGAGGCACAAGCACTCCTGGTCCCGGTCAGTGTTGAGGCTCCTGCTCTTCATGCTGCTGTGCATCCTCTGTACTGTGGCTGTCTGCAAGCTGACAGAGCTGCAACATCAACCTCTGTGCATCAGCGTGAACACTCTCTATGAGGACGTGGTAGCTGCTCTGCAAAACCACAAAACCCTGCAAAACATGCTTCACCAGAACTCACAGCAGTGATTCTCCTGGATGGGCACTTGCTTAGTCAGCATCTCCTTCCACCATCTACGCAGCCGGAATTCCTATGGAATTGTGTTCTGATGAAACTGCTTTTAATCAGTCAGCATTGATGTGCTGGTCCACTCCGCACAGAGCAGAATTACTGTTGAGATCATCTTTGCTGTGCATGTTTCTCAGCTGGCCTGTAAATCCCATTGTTTGCCCACATTAACTTAAACTTGTTAACGCTTCTTACCTCCGAGGGATTTTTACCTAGATTGTAAGATACAGAAAGCTGCCAATTTACAGGAGTGGAAAAAACAAACAAACAAACAAACAAACAACGTTGGTTATCTATGTAGCTGTAGCTCTATAAGGGAGGTAGAAGGTTTTTTTAATGCATATCCATTTCTTGCTGTCATTTCTGTTCATGCTAAAATTGGTGATATGGCTGTATGGGGATAATATATGTAGGCCTACTCCAGGACCAATTACAAGTTTGTAGGATGGCTGTGCATCCATATGTTAAGAGTGAAGAAGCTGATGTGCTATTGAAAGGAGCTGAAAATTTTCAATACAACTGTTTTCGCAGCAATTTGTCTTGACTGGATGCTTATGTCGCTAGTGTAGAACATGCTTATCTTGCTTCGATTTTATTTATTTATTTTTTTAAGGAAACGGCTATAAAACGCTTCAGGGCTAAAGACAGTAACCGTTCACTTTAGCCAGCCCGTGCCAACAAAGCAGCTGCAGCTTAACAAGGATTTCTAGTTCTACAGACTGGCTCTTTGTGTATAAAAAGAGGAGCTCTGAGAGATTGCAGAAAGACGGTGGGTAAGTGACTGCCTGTTCCCGGCTGCTGGGCTGGGTTGTAGCAGCAGTACACAACACTGGGTGGCACTGCTGCAGCATCATATACTAAGGCAGTCTGGCAGAAATGGGCCTCACCTTGGGGCTCTTGGAAGGGCTGGGAATTGCAGCCTTTTATATCTAGAGGAGAAAACTCGGTTATATGGCAAACACTGGGCACAGGCCTATGAATTATTTACGGTTTACCTACAGAGAAAAACAAACAGAAGCTTTTCATAGCCTTGAAAGAAATTGAGCGCTAAAATGAACTGGAAGTATTTGTACATGTAATGGTCTGAGTGCAGGTTCCAGAGAATAACCACACTGCAGGCTCCACTGAGACATGCATACATCAGTCATCAGAATTGCTCCCGATTATTGCTGGGAAGAGCAGTGCCCTGATTGAATAATCTATATCGTTTTATACCAAGATCATCATAAAAGCAGTAAGCCTTCACCATTTCATAGTCTAATGGTAAGGCAGACTACCTTACAGAGAAAAGCAACAGCAGTTTTTTTAGCAGGAATTTAAGATACAGGGAAGGAATGGTTGCGCATCTCTTTGGCTTAGCTTTACATATTTCTTCTTAAGTTTCCCTGAAACAGTTGTAGTCTTTGCTTTTGATATCTAACTTATCACATCCTTGAAAAGGTTCTTGCTTATTATCCAGAAGTGTTGGCACATTCAAGGAACACTTCCTCTCTGCAGGAACACTGGCAAGAATCTTCTGCTTTGTGTGCCATCTAGGAGAGAGCACTGCTTAAGTTAGCAAATGCCAAGCTAATAAGACTTATTAATTTGGGTCAAAAGCATGCTACTGGAAAGGCAAAGACACCTGCTGAATGCATGAAGCTAGCATATGTTTTGGATATTTTTTCATCTGAGTTAGGACAATTCCAGTGAGCAAATTCCATGCATTGTGTGCAGTTTAGTTTACTTTCAACAGCCATCTCAGTAAGTACTTTTGTAGTAAAAGACCTCAACTGTCCTTGCGTATGCACATAAGTGCTGATGGCTTCAGGGACAGTCAAGCATGTTCCCCAATCTAATTAAAAGAAAGATTTTTCTGCCAACTGTTTAGACCTCATAATTCCAGCCCATATAATCAGATTTCAAGACCCTCTATAGATTAAGCTGTCTGGAGACTGAATCAGGACAGTCTAAATTTATATCTGAAAATTAGTCTTACTCATTCCCATCTGCTGCAGTGGAAAATAGAAACGAGGTTATTTCACAAGATAAAGTTCTTCCGTCCTACCATAGCAGATGACGGGGCAGCAGCATATTTCTTCTTGCATTATTATCTTTCACACTGGAGAGCGAAGGTAACTACTCTCCGTTTAGGCTACCAGTAGAAAAATATCATTTCTTTAGAAGACATATCTGTCTTTACTCAAGGCTGCAATGTTAAGAAGTAATTAATGTTATTATACAGGATGATTTAGTTGCTAGGAAGAGAGTGAAGCTATTGGCAAAGAGGAAGGTACTATCAATGCTGTAGACACATCAAAATCATGCTCCTATGGAAGATGTTCACCGTCTTTCTTGTGTAAACTCCAGCCAATTAGCAGTTTTATCCAACTTTCTTCTACCATGATAAAGACTAAATGAGTTTTTAAGTCTTTAAACTAGGAGTCGTGACTCCATTTGTTATTGAAGCACTTCTTCCCAGAAGGAAGATGAATATTCAAACCAGGCAACCATAAAAATCCTCATTCCCTTGCGTTATTCAGTGAAATCCAAACAGAGATCAGGATCCTGGGAAGTCATCTGCAGGTAGATTCGTCTGGAGAGTTCTGGTCCAATCCGCCGGGAGGTAGCTGTCACACCCTCACCACGGCGCACAAGGATATTAGCTAGCATGTTTTCCCGCTCTTGCTCTGAGGAGCATCTAGAATAGGCCTAAAAGCAGTACAGAGGAATGACGGTATCATCCACTTGCACTCATTGTTCAAAAAAAACATCAAAGCCCTGCACCTGTGACTGTTCTGTCTTTCACGATTTGCACTTGTTTTTCACCTGGTCTCTCTCCAGATTTCATCTGTGAGATTAGAGGCAGATGCAGAACCCATACTGCTTCATTAAAACAGAACAGACTCACTTATGATTGCTAGGCACACAGCTGCAATAGAAAGGAGTGGACATGTCAAGTCAGGCTGTGTTACTGCACTGTGATGGGAGACGCTCTTGGCTTTTCTTACTGAAGGGGAAACCCTTAAGCTCCTCAGTAACCTGCTCTGTAAAGCCAAAGCAATGGGTGCAAATAAGGTACTGAAGGAACTAATTTATTTAACAGTTCATATGGAATTGATGTGCCAGAATTAATACCAGTTAAATGATTTCTTCCACTCCTTACGTTAGTTGGCTGTATACACAGCGCTCGGTATTTGTGAGGCACCCTTACCTGATCCAGAAGCTGAGGAGAAGGGTACGCAGACACTACAGCTTCAGCCATCTCAAAGCTGACCCGGTTAAACTGTTGTATCTGCCTTTTCCAAACTTCTAAGAGACCCTTTCCAGAATGATCCACCTTCACACCTCTGCACCACTCATTCTCTAAGTAGAAAGAGAATCCTGTCTTCTCTCGCTCTCGCCTATGGAGAACAAAGGATAGAAAGGCGAATGAGACAATGAAGCTATGGAAAAAATTCCATTCTTGCATCTCTTGTCATGTGGCCAGAGAGAAAAAAACAGAGAACCATTTCTCGCTCTGCACTGTTACAGATACCGTTGGCAAAGTAAACGCTAAAAACGAAACCATATTTTCCCTGCATACATTACCGATTTCCTTGTATAAAGGTGAAAAAGCCCAGATAACCTGGCCTAATGAAAAAGGAAAAGAACTAGTCTTGTACGTGGAAGCAATCCTGACACAAACCAATACATATACAAATTGGGAAAAAGAATTCACTTTCAAGCTGTCAAAGACAAAAGAATGCTTTTATATGCCATTTTTAAAGACTTTTTTTTTCCACGGCTGAGACAGAAAATAATACAGCTGCTCTGACAGGAATGCTAAGATTGTGTAGGACCACACAAGATGGCTTTCCAAGCTACCACTGCATCACATGCTGCTGTCCTTATCAATGGTAGCAGCTAAATGGTTCATTCTCAGTAGTGTTTCTCTCAGTTACATTTCAAAGAATAAAAGTGGGTGCTGTAAGAGCCTGACCTTATTTGCATTCCCTTCCCACTCCTGAATGCCAGCTCAGAGCAGCACCTTGACTTGACATAAAGCAGGAGTCCAACTTGAAATCAGGGTCTGTCTTCACCTCTCCCCAGGCACGACATCAGTTTCTAAGAACTAACCCTGTTTTGAAGAAGCGGCATCAAGAGTTGCTCTGCGTTGCCTGCTCCTTTAAAATGCATTATACTGTATTGTACTTCAGTACAGCTGTATACTTGTTATTCCCTCCCAGTAATCTTGAAAGTAAAGCCTCTCCCAAGAAGATATTTCAAAGTCTCATCTGCTTACTCACTTGTACGGTGCTTCAGCTACTGCTTTAGTGAACATACTGACAAACTCTCCGAGTTCCTCCCAGCTCTCAGCAAATCTGACTTGGACTTGCGTGTGCAGCTGCAGATCCACCAGCGCCTGTAAACAACAGCGGAAACAATAATGGAACAATTCATCCTCTTATCCCATCAGACTCTGCTCGTCTGATACAAAAAGTGTCATCACACCTTGCTATAGGACAAGACCATCCACACTCTCCCCAGTACGTGAACAGCTAGCTTGAGGCACTAAGGTATGTAGGGGCAGTTGGTCTCCTGCTTGTGGAATAGCAGGTTAGTGCCACTTCAGCTGACTTAGCTCCTCAGTGGAGGGCTCTCGTTACATGCAGGCCACCCATTCCAGGACGGCGCTGATGTGCACAAAGGCTGAATTCCCCCACCCAAGAAAAAGCATGATTGGGTCAAACGCTCAGTCAAGGGCAGACAGGAACAGAGACGACTACTGCATGCCTGTTCTAAAGGTACTCACTTCTTCCACATCTAGTCTGGACACATCCGGGCCAGAATCCTTAGCTTTCTTTTTTCTCCGTTTTCCCTGTTCCTCTGCTTGGTCTCCATTCACTGCTGCCTGTTGCAGTCTCTTTTTTGACTGAGCTCTGAGAGATCTAAGAAGAGGAAGATAAGGAGTTCACGTCAGCACAAATAGCACAGAAGATCAGGCTGCTGTGGAGTGCCTAATAACTTAGTGTCAGCACCCCTACTAGGGGATGCCAAATAGAAGAAACTGTCAAGGACTATTAAACACAAAAACATTACATCTGATTACGAAAACGCCTCAGCAACAAATTTTTGGAAGCTAGGAAGGTATTCAAAGGAAGTATCCTACATTTTTTCCCCTCTCCTCATGCTCTTCCCTAGATATTTGCTGTTGGTCACTCATGGTGATAGGCTAGGTGGACCTTTGTTTCTGTTCTTCTATAACAAATAGTAGAAGAGTTTTGGGTAGGAATACTTCTTATGTTCCAGTCTTTGCTAGAGGGAATTAATGTAAATACCTATTATATTTTTCAGTGCCAAAGACAAGGGAAAAAAGCCTAACCTGAAATAATTTTCTACTTCAACCACTGCCAGTGCCAGAATCTTCCCAGGCATTTTCTCCATCACATGAGCAACAAAACTCTGTAGTGTCTCCTTCTGTCCTTCTGTGCAGCCCTGGACTTCCTGCAAAGATCAACA